GGAAATCTGGGGCTAGTTTTTCTGGAGGAGGAAACCCTCACCTCAGAGGATGCAGCTGCCCTGGGCTCCCCTGCACACCTGCCTGTACATCCCTCATCACAGCACTTCTCACTGACTTCTCATCTGGAGCTCAGCTGTGTGACCCTGGGAAAGTGACTTAACCTCTCTGTGACCCGGTTTTTTCATCAGTAATATGGAGCTAAGGGTGTGCCTACTTCACAGAGCTGCGCCCTCCTTCATGGATCAGTAAGCTCTGAAGCATGGCAGTCTTTGGAGCGATGTCTGTACAAGGACCTGCTCGATAGCCTTTGTCACTGTGCCTCTGTGATCCCCGGCGAACTCTGAGCTCCGTGAGGGCAGGGCCCAGGTCTGTCTTGCTCACGTGGATTCTTGGTTAACATGATGGAATGGCTGTGGGCTGTCAGCAGTTACTCGGGAGCCATCCTGGGGAGGCATCGTCCCCTGGAGAATGCACACTAGGGATCCGGGCTGCCTGGGCCAGCAGGTTCTTGGAAGAAGATTCTTCGGGGTTTGCTGTGCCCTGCAGCTGGGGGAGCTGGAAGCCAGCCCAGAGCCCAGATGGGGGCTCCCTGCGAGCTTGCGGGTGTCACCGCAATCCCCAGGGCTGCCAGGTGCAGACAATAAATCCGGAAACCCTGGCGGGTGAGTCATTAAGGGTCCCCAAGGCCTCATGATGGGAGATGGCAGATGAGCTGCCCCTGGCTCTTTGGGTCCAAGTGCCACCATTCAAGAGGGTTCCAGAACCCAGTGCTGGGTCCAATCTCTGCTGCTGGCTCGGACTCCACCCAGCGTCCGAAGCTGGCTCCGATGGGCCCAAACGGCACAATGAACATCACCAGTGTCACCCCCTTTCCTGAGGCTGTTTACAGAGGAATGTTGAGGCTTGTGGAGGTGGCAGCACGCATTGTCTCCATGGAGGGGTTTGATGGCCCTCCGCAGGAGCCCCTGGAAGCTGCAGACCATCTGTCACTTAGGGCATATTTGGGAGGGAAGGACAACAGGACCCCAAAAGGCAGAAATGTCAGGGAAAGGGAGGACATGGCAGGGCAGGGGGTCTCGGGGAGTTAGGATAAATGGCACAGACAAAGGCAGTAGGAATGAGTAGTGCGCAGCCCCACATGGCCGGGGCAGAGTGGGTGTGTGTATGTGTGCCTGTCTTGGCTAGGGGAACTCCGGCCCTTCCTTCTGTGTCATCAACAGCCCTCCTGGGCCCCTTGCCCTACCCTGACCCGTGCTAAGAATCGTGGCACCAGCCTCGCTGTAGGGCCTGCAGCAATCACCTCCCTTCCTGTGCTTTTGGTCTGCTGTCTGGTTCTGACCATGCCTCCATCTCACTGTCGTCAAAAGGCCCAGGTGTCCACCCCGTGCCCCAAACTGTGGGTTTGGTCCCCCCTCTGTGCCCCCAAAGCCCGGGCCTCCCCTCACAGCACTTGTCACTGTGTCCTGCAATCGCCCACTCGAGTCTGTGTCCCCCACCAGACTGTAGCGTCCTGAGGGCAGGGCTGTGCCTTACCGTGCTCCCAGGGCCCAGCGTGTGTGTGGCAAACAGTAGGTGCTCACCGAACTGCCGGCAGAATGAAAGTGAATGAGCCCCTGGGGCAGCTCATGTCCCCAGAGCCCACCGTGGGACCGGCTCTCTCTTAGGTTCCATGTCTCCAGTGGCACCTCATTGCTATCCGAGCTTGCGGGCAGGGACCCTCTCTGACCACGCCCCTGTCTGGAGGCAGGCTGCCCTCCCACCTCCCCGCGGGTCCAGCCCCACCCTCTGGGCAATTCTTGAGGCTTGCGGCTCACAGGACCCTTTGCTCCTGTCCTTTCGCTTACCAGTCTCCACATCCTCCACAAACACCACCTCCAAATGCATCTCTCTCCCTACCTGACCTTGCCCCCGTTCTCCCTGCCTCCAAGGTGCCCTTCATGCAGGAGCAAGGACCCGGGGCAGGAAGGGTCCTCCAGACCCCCCTGCTTGCCCTGGGGCGAGGGAGCCCCAGGATTGTACATCGTCGGCATCTCTTCCTGCTGAATTTGAATCCTGACTCCAACCCTTCAGAACGAAGTGACCTTGAGAAAGAGATGAACCTCTCTGGGTCTCGGTTTCCCAGCGACAAATGGTTGTGAGAAGACACGGGTGTGGGTGGCTGAAGGCTGGGCACTGGCATAGGACACGCGTGGACCTAGTCCCAGCTCCGGCTCCTGTGCTTGGCACGGCCTGGGCAAGACCCCCTAACTTCTCTGGGCCTTGGTTTCCTTATCTGCAAAGGAGCTAAGGAGATGCCCTTGCAGCGGGTGGAGAGGCCCAGTGAGGTGGGGACCGCCGGGAGAAAGGAGCATTTTCCTGCTTCTCCCATCACTTCCTTCTGCCCTGGGTTGGGAGTCATTCCTCCCTCCCCACCACCTCCAAAACTAGACCAGCTCCCACTGCCCCCCAGCCTGGGTTGGCCCCGGTCTTCCCGTGGTCCAGGGCCGGGGTGTGGGTGGCAGATGGAATGGGGTGCAGGCTGCTATTGTGATAAGGGCAGACAGGAATTGGAAGAGACCGGTGGGGGGTACGCCTGCCTTGCCCACCCCCAGAGATTCAGGGGGGTTCTGAGCTTGTAGGCAGCAAGAGCTGGGGCACCAGCTCCAGCCACAGCCACTTCCCCAGCCTTCCTGCCGCACTGCTCCCAGGAGCCCAGGCAGGATTGGCCACCTGCCAGCCCCGAGTGGAAATGTACCAGCGAAAAGGAGGACCCTGGGGAGGGGTCCATCCCCTCCCTGCAGCACTCCCTCCCCTCCACTCCCCCTTCTTGGTCACCCCACATTCAAGTTCAAGCTCTGCCTGCAGAGGGGCAGGGGCATGTTGGAAAGGTCTACAGAGGGCTGGGGTGGAGGTTGCATCTGCGGCCTCCAAGGCAACAAGTGGACTCTGGAATGTCGGGGTGGGGTCGCTGGGAGACCCTAGCTGGGGAGGACGTGCGCGTGTCCTCTGTGAGTATGTGGGGTTTCTAAGTGTCGTGGTGTGTGAGTCTTTGCATGGGTGTGGGTGTGGAGGTGTTTGTGGTGCCTATCTGTGTGCGTGTGTGACGTGTGTGCGCGACGAGTGTGTGGTGTGCGCGTGGGGCGCGTCTCCGGGGGCCTGTCTGCGGCTGTCCCTGTGTGTCCCCGCGTTTCTGCTGGCAGTGGCGGGCGGGGAGGCTCGGGGCTGCCGCTGAAGGTCCTCTTGACACAGAATCCATGTTTGTCGAGGAGGGAAAGAGAGAGCGGAGGGAGGAGAGGGGAGGAGAATGGAGAGAGGGAAGGAAGAAATGGAGGGCTGGGGCGGGGGCGAGGGGGGCGATGCGAGCGGAAGGTAGGCCGGCGAGGCGGGCGGCGGTGGGGGGGGGCGGGGAGCAGAGGGGTCCCCGAGAAACCGGGCTGCGGGACCCCGCGTTGCCGCCCGCCGGGTCCCCAGCCCCAGCCCACCGGGCAGGTCCCCGCCGGGAGGCCGCTGTCCGGCCGCCCCGCCTTGGGAGCCCCGACGCCGCAGGGCCGCCCCCGGCCCCCTTCTCCGCCCCTGTGCGCTGCACGCGGGACTCAATCTTCAGTGCTCGTGGCTGACGGCGGTGTTGCAAGCTTAGCAGTATTTTGGTTGAACAACGAAAAGCGAGAAAGAGAAGTTGGGGGTTGGGGAGCCTCCCCTCCCCGCCCCGCGGTCCGTAAGCGAACTCGGGCAGGTGGAAGGAGGCGGCGCGGCGCAGGGCCGGAGACGCGAGCGCCGCGCGAGGGGAAAAGTTTCCGACCCTTTAGCAAGAGGCTGAGAAGTTTCGGCCGCGCCGGGCGGCGCCAAAGCCAGGCCAACACTGCCCCCGCGTGGGCGCGGCGCGACGCTGCAGCCTGTGGCCGGTTTGGGGTCCGCCGCGGCTCTGCCGGGGAAACTGAGGCTCGGAGAGGGCGAGGTGGGCTGTGCAAGGCCACGAAGAAAAGGTGCAGTAGAATCAGGTCTCCTCCGGGACCCGCAGGCTCTCCAGGAAATATAAGTACTGGGGGGGGAGTGGGGGAGGAGTGAAAGTCCAGAAAGTGGGGATGGAGGGGATAGGTCATCCCAGGGATCGAAATCCCACTACACTCCCCAGTGAAGGCGAATGGTAGCACTGCTCCATCCCATCCCCACAGGGTTGGTAGATCCATGGCCTTTTCTGGAGCCAGGGCCCTCCTTCGAAACAGTTCTCCCCCATCCACAACCCGTCCTGGCCCTAAAATCCCCACGACCGGTCCAACCCAAATCCCAGCCTTTGCTATTCAGCACTGCGCCTGGGTGTGGATTCCGTGGCTGTTTCTTCACTGGCCAGGAGGTGGCGATAAAGACCTCGATCCCGGCCTTGGCGAGGGGTTGGAGCCGAAGCGCTGCTTCTAGGAGAGAGGGGAGGGGCCAAACTTTGCCCAGCAGTTGGAACGCAGGTGTGTGGCAGGGCCAAACCCAGCAGACAGGCAAATGGGGGTGGAACTGCTGGGTCAGTGCAGCGGTCGGAAAAGCTCCAGGCAGTTCCTGCCACCTTGTCTTGCGCCACCTCCTGTGTGACCCTGAACACTGCCCCCCTAAGTGGGAGAGAAACATCTGACCCCTGCCCACCCAGATGCTTGCCCTCCAGGGATAAGACTCTGGCCTGGGGAACACAGAAGACAAATGTTTGTCCCTTTGGCCACAGTCTGGATGCCCTCACCCCACAGGGGAGGTCCGCAAGCAGCCTTTGGTTCCCGTCAAAGATGGAGGCTGGGCTGGGGGAGGTTGGGGCAGGTGCCTGTTTCAGGTGTGGGCTGATCTAGGTTGACAGAGGCTTGGTCCCAGGTTTGAGATGTGTGGCAGGGTCTCCCACCTCCCAGAAGAGGGGCTCATTTGGAACAAGCCTGACCCCTGAAGATGCCTTGCCCCCCCATCTTCATCCCAGCTGTGACTCCGCCCCAGCCCTCCCCCTGGCCCAGGACCCCCAAAGACCAGCAACTAGGAGAGGTTTGTAAGGTGAGCCCTGACAGCAGATACCAGCCACCGGGGATGTGCGTTTATTTGTGGGTCAGGGAAGGCCTCTCCTCACCCCTCACCCGTGTCCACACCTGGGCTTGGGGACCAGCAGCCATTCACCTCTGAGCGCGACGTGATGTTGACGGCAGGGGAAGCTGGTGCCCCTTAGGGCGGCCTTGTTTCAGGACCGTGTGTGCAACACCAAGCTGGGCAGGAAGGACTCCTAAGGAGAGAAGGGGGACCAGCTGGGCGTTTTGGGGGCCTCTGGGCAGGAGATGGGGTTCCCTGGGCCCAGGGGGATTCTACACCACAGCCCAAGGGGGCAGGCACTGTGGTCAGCCCCATTTTACAGATGCGGAAACTGACACGAAAAAGACCCCACCGATCGAAAGTTAGGAGCTTGCGATCTGAACCCAGGCAGCCTGGCCTGAGAGCCCACCCCTTAGCCGAGCACATACGGGGGTTTTAACCCAGAGCCCTGGCCACCCCACTGGGCACCAACCCCCACCAGGCAGGGGGGCTCCAGGTGGCTGGAGTGGGGTTGCTCACTAGCTTCTGGCTCACTAGCAGTTGAGCCAGAAGTTGCTCACTAGCTTCTGGCTCCAGGAACAGGGTGATTTGCCCACCTGCTCCAGAAAGGTTTTCAGGTGCCCCCGCTCCGCTACCTCTGGGTGGTGGGCCTGGGGATGAAGGGCAGGCTGCTGTTCATAGAGGTGTCCTCAGAGAGGTGGCCCTTCGGCTCCAGGGGGGACCTAAGGGGGACAGGAGCCCATGAACTGTGTGGACCCTGAGTCCCAGGTCCACCCATGGCTGGCAGAGCCCCCAAGGGCCCAGACCACAGCTGGACAGGGAGGTTTACAGGATGAGGAGATGCATGAATCCCATCCCCTTCCACAAAGCCTCACAGGCCAGGGAAGTCCCAGCCGAATGAGTTGGCCATGGTGTCCTCCTTGGCCCTGGGATACAGGGCTTTGGGCAAACTCTCCAGCCATCTCCCGACACTCCCGAACACCTGCTCCGATGCTGCTGACCCGCTGGCTGTCCTGTTCTCGAGGGTGCCCTGCAGGACTGGAGGAGAGAGAGCACGGGTGAGATCTCTCTACCCAGGCGGGGCACCTATACCCCCCTCTCTCCTCCTCCCTCTGGCAGGCAAGATCTGGCAGAGTCCTGTCTCCATGGCAACCCAAGGCTCCCAGGGCCTTCTGGCTGCCTCCAGGGAAGGCTCTGGTTTTAAAACTATCCTGCATGACTGTTTCTGCCTCTATTACCGAAGCTGTGCCCCCTCCCCCCTCCCCACACCCCCACTCCTGCTTCAGCCCAAAATGGGCCCCATTTCCCACAGTCGGAAGGCCAGTCGTCCCACCATGTAAATCCAAGAGACGATGCTGAGAATCCTATGGGGATGGAGAGTGTTTCCTGTCCAACAGCTCCCCCTCCGGCTGGTCAGGAACCCCGAATTCCTCAGGATGGAAAGGGCTGGGAAGCAGCCGCTGAGCTCCACTCTGGTGTTCTGGGGTATGACCACAGCCCAGTGGCTGTCAAGGAAGTGTCTCCCGTGCCAGCCAACGGCCATTCCCAAGAAACTTTCTCCAGGTGCTCCCTTTCCTTGGATTCCCAGGGGTGGCCAGGGGGCACTCTGGCATCTCTTTTCAGCTGCTGTGTCATCTGCCCTCAGGGCCTTGGCTGCCCCATCGAACAACCAGAAGTTGGGCAGAATTGCAGCTTCCACCTCCAACTTCCTGTGACCCTGAGGGGGATGGGTCGGGTTCCTTCTGAATCCGCCAAGGTCCTGGATTTTGAGGGCTTTGCCCCCAGCGAGGCTTTGGGGCAGCCGATCTCTGAAAGCGCACACAGTCGGTGCTTAATAAATAGATGAGGCTGTTGGACTGCTGGATCCTGAGAAGAGAAGGGGCTGGGCAGATGGGGAAAGCAGGCCTTAGGAAAGATCGTACCAGAGCAAAGACGTGTATTCTTCCCACTGCTTGACACCCACTTCAGAAAACACTGGAAACTGTGCCAACACGAGCAAAGCTCTGCCTGGGGGCCTGGGCCTGGTGGTTGGTTCCTAGCTTCTTTGCTGGACCAGGCAGTGCCAGCCTTCCGTGGAGGCGTGACCTTCTAGAACTTTCTGGGCACCTCCCAAGCCAGGCCTCTGAGGTCTGCCTTCAGGGATATGGGAAAAGGATGCTTCGGGTGCCTTTGTTGCTACCTTCTCCAGCCCCTGGAGGCCATGTGCGGGGTCTGCAGGCTGAGGTTGTGGGTTCCGAGGTGGGCAGATACAGCGTGTGGGAACCCTTGGCAGTGAGAAATCCTTCCGTGGTGGCCAGGCCTGGACAGCCACTGTTTCCTGGGCCACAGCTGCAGCCTTGGGACATCTCTGCTGGACCTCAGACCCTCTACTTGGTCCTTGAAGGTCACCCTAACAGCCTCCAGAGAGGACAGTTCAAGGGCCTCCTCCACAGGATCAATGGTCTCTTGGGCTTTTTGGCCGGCCCCTAACTCCCAGGACCCAGGGCCACAGCCTCTGCTCTTCAGGTTTCAGGCTGGAACTTTCTGGAGTCCTGGAGCTCCCCTTCCTGTCTGCTCACCTGCACAGCTGTGTTCCCAGTAGCGGAGCGCTGTGTCCCGTAGCGTCTCATCTGCAAACTGCACGCGGAAGGGGCAACACCGCCTGCGGTGCCCTGAGCCTTCCCCCGAGGAGCTGTGGGTGAGCACGGCCTTGAGCTTGGGGGCCTGTGTAGTGTGGGGCCTGGTGAGAGAGATGAGAAGGGCAGGGGAGGACCAGGGCCTGAGGCCCCAGCCCCTCATGCCACCCTGACAACACACATCCACCAGGCCGGAGCTCCCTGTGGGATCCTGACAACCACAGCTGGCCTCTCCAGCCCACCAGCCCATACAACTCTGTGAAACACGATTATTATTATTATTCCCATTTTACAGATGAGGAAACTGAGGCACAGAGCGTTTTTGTTTTTCGTTTTTTGCAACTTGCCCAAGATCGCACAGCTGGTTCGGGGCGGAGCTGAGATCTGAATTCTGGTTCCAGAGCCAGTTCTCTTATATATCAAGCAATTCGGCAGAGAAAATAAGGAGATGAACTCCGGAGTCAGGCAGTCCTGGGTTTCAATTCTGACTCTGTTGAGCCTGAGTTCCTTTGTCTGTAAAATTGGGATCATTGTTGTGCCCACCATACAGGGTTGTGAAGAGATGACAGAGACTGAAAAGCCCCGTCCCCCGCACCACCACCCAGGCCAGGGTCTGCAGGGCCAAGGGTAAGCATCTCTAACTGAGAACTGTTCTTACAATCGTCAATTTCAATTATGCCCCTTCCCAGTCCTGCGACATGGGGCAGACTGCCCTCAAGTCTCCATTTTACAGTTTTCCCTTTTAAATGATGTACTATGTATTGTAGACACGATAATAGCATCCTTATAAGAGTCTGGTGAGTATCAAATAACTTACGTGAGGCATCTGGTACAGGGCCTGGCAAGGGGCCTGTGCTCAATAAAGGGGATCTGTTATGGTTACATTTATTAATTTCAGCCTCCAGAGCAAGGCTGCAGGAGGGCTTGCTTGATTCATCCACAGCTCTGTTATTCAGAAATGCCACATTTGACCTTACGTACAATGCTTATTGATATATCTGACTCCATGTATCTGTCCACAGCTTTATGTCCGTTTGGACCCAGAGGGGACGCTTTTCATAAGCCCATTGAAGAGCCAGGCATCCAGGAGATGGCCAAGACAGTGTCGGCTACAGGCGTTGGGACCTAGTTATGCAACAGCTGTTTGCTCATCCATGCCTGCTTGGTGCTGGCCTCAGGACCAGCCAAAGGCTTGCCCCAGCTGTGCCCACTGGTCTGAAATCTCAGCTTCTCCTCTCAAATGCTGCTGGAGCGGCTTCTAATGCACCCAGCTGTCCCCAGCAGGGCCTACTAGGGAACCCCACACACCTTAAAGTGCTCAAGAACTAGCTCCTGAACGTGAAACACTGTGAAGGTATCCATCCCTGTTGTTGCTTACATTCAAGATAATGAGTTCCACACTCTTATTTATTATATCTTATGAGAAGTAGTGTGTTTATTTGGTCCGATTGATTTAAAGTTCCTGGGTTGGCAAATGTGTTTCATTTCTGGCACCTGCTCTGATCCACTGGCGGTGTCTGCCTGGAGCACTGTGTCAGGAAGGGTTCTGAGGCTCAGTGGGGGAAAAGTGCTGTGATCAGTTAGTACTGTCTGCCATGGGTCCAGGATGAGAAGGAATGGCAGGTCTAGTGTATTTCCTCTCCCTGGTCTTTAAACTCATGGGCAATGCTCTTCACCTTTCATCCATGTTTAAGCCTGTTTAAGCAGGAGGGCAATGCTCTTCACCTTTCATCCATGTTTAAGCCTGTTTAAGCAGGAGGAATTATTTCTGTATTCTTTCCCCCCGCCATTAGAGCTACAGCATCTAGGCCCAGTTAAGCTCTAATGCCCAGGCTCTTCCTACCCCCATCCCTTATTTTACTTCCCCCGATATGTGACATATAGTAAAAGCTAATAAAGATTAGAGGAAGAAATGGATGAATGAATGGTGGGTTGTGTGAAAGGATGGAAGACTGGGTAGCTGGGTAGGTGGGTGGACAGATAGATGAATTAATGAAAAGGTCTTTTTTGGTTTTTTTGACCGCACCGCGTGGCTTGCAGGATCTTAGTTCCTGGACCAGGGATTGAACCTGGGCCACAGCAGTGAAAGCACTGAGTCCTAACCACTGGACCGCCAGGGAATTCCCGAAGAGGTCTTAATACAAGGATTGGACCTTAGGAGGATGGGCACACGTATGGATGCATAGGTGGGTGAATGATTATGTAGATGAGTGTGTAGACTTGTACATGGCTTCAAGACTAAAAATGGATAGCATCCTGGATTTACAGGTGGATGGAAGGATTGGTAGATGATCAGTCACTGGATTCATGGGTAGATGGATAGAATTGTGGGAATTTGGGAATAACTGGCTGGCTGGCTGGATACGTGGATTAATGGATCAACAGGAGACCTGATTCATGGGTGGATGGATGGATGGAGAGATTCACGAATAGGTTTTAAAAGACCTGGTTCACAGATAAGATGTATGCAAGGGCGAATGGGTGAATGGGAGAATGGATTCATCGATGAATTATGAAGGTGTTGGTAGAAGACCTGATTAATGGGTGGATGGATTCACAGATGTTGATGGATGATCCTTGAACAGGTTAGGAGAAGACCTGATTCATGGATGGACACACAGATGGATGAATAGGTGGACAGATGGATACATTCATGGGTGAAAGGCAGAGGAAAGAAAGGAAGGAAAGAAATGCCCTTTCTCCCCACTCCCCTACCCCATCCTCCCATAACGCAGATTGGTCTTCTCGACCGTGGTGAATTGTGAGTGATCTCTCCTGAAGGGCCCCAGGGCAGGTATCTGATGGAGCAAAATCTTCTTAAGACTATTCTTGAAGTACAATGACTGGCCTCTTGAAGACAAATAGGCCACACCTGGCATGAGTGATCAGGGTCCCCCATAGTCAGAGCATTGATGACAACCCTGTCCCCACCGGCAGGTCACTGACACTTACCCCAGGTCTGGGAGGAAGGAGTAGCGGGGACACTGCGGAGGACTTCCAGAGTGTTCTGACACACCCCTTTGATGCTGTGATGGTGAGGATGCTGGGAGCCAGGAGGAGGTGGAAATAGTTCTGAGTCTTCTCTTGGGGACAATCCTTACCAGGCTCTTCCTGGTTGCATGGCCTTGGGCCTCAGTTTACTCATCTGTACAATAGGGGCAGTGGTAGACCCGCCCTCAAGGGGTGGTTGCCATCGCCAGGACTCTGCCAGGCATACTCTGCTAACACTGCCATTATTCTACTCCAGGTGGTGGGACCCCCACCGGAAATGACTCAGCCCCCCCGTGGGGGCCGTAGGGGCCTCACTCGGTGGTCGCGGCTGCTTCGCAGACTCAGGCCCTGAGCTGGCGCAGGAACTGCCGGGACCGGCCAGGGAGGAACTCTCCTAGGAGGTCGCCCATAGAGTCGGGGTTCTCCCTGGCCGAGCCCCTGCGGGGGTCCTCGCACTGTCCAGGCCCGGGGCGCCGGTTCCCGGGGCTCGCCGGCCAAGAGCATGGGCGGCGGCAGCAGCGACCTCAGCCCTTGTCCGGCTCCGGGCCGCCCGCTGGGCCACGGTGGGCAGGACGGGCAGGCGCGACCGGGGGCGCCTGACGCCCACCCCGGGATCCGAGGGCGAGGACTCACACGCGGGGGCCTCCCACCACTCGGCGCCGCCCTCCGAAGCCCTGGAGCCCCCGGAGGCCCCCGCGCCAGAGGCTGCTCGGAGCTCGGGCAGCAGCAGCCTCGGCAGCAGCGGGTCTCTCTCTCCGTCTGCGATCGCCACCGCCGGGGAGCCCCTCGGGCGCCACCTGCTGGGCACAGGAGCTGGGCCGACGCCGGGGCATGTCTGGCCCTGCGCTCAGCCCAGGGCATCCTCAAGCCAGTGGGGGCGGTGCCGTGTGAAGTGGAGAGGAGGGCGTAGACCAGCCTCCAGGCCGTAGCGCCCGGAGCGGGACAGCGTGGTTCGGGGCTACTACCACTGGCTCGCCAGACAGCAAGTGGCTTCAGGCTAGAGCGTCCCGATCCTCTGTTTCCTCACCTCACCGAAAAACGGTGACGGTGAGAGTACGCACTTTTTGAGTTACTGTGACGTTTAAATGGCTTAGAATAATGACAGGCACGTTGTACGTGCTCAAGGAAGCCTAGCTGCTGTTGTTATTATATTTTAAAATTATTATTTAGGATTTAGTCTCAGTTCCACTACTTATTAGCTGTACCCTTGGGCAAGCCAATTAATTAACTGCTCTCAGTGCCCTCATCTACAGAATGGGGATAACCCAGCGCCTGCTCCTTTGTGAGAATGAAGCAGCACCACATGGTAAAGAGCACTTAGCATCTGGAGTGTTCAACGTGCTGTTACTGTTATTAGCGCTGAGGTGGGAATTGGGAAACCTGGAACCAGCTTGAAAGGGTGACCTGCCCTGCAGCTGCCCATTCCTTCTGGAGCCCCAGAGTCCCTTGGGTGGGAGCTTAGTGAAAATACAGATGCCCCAGATTCCGATTCAGAGGTCTGGGGTGGGGCAAGACATATTTTTAACAAATTCTCCCTTTGGGAGACAGAGCCCCAGCCCCGCCCCCCATTTCTTTCTTTTCTTTCTTTTTTTTTTTTTTGTGGTACGCGGGTCTCTCACTGTTGTGGCCTCTCCCGTTGCGGAGCACAGGCTCCGGACGCACAGGCTCAGCGGCCATGGCTCATGGGCCCAGCCGCTCCGCGGCATATGGGATCCTCCCGGACCGGGGCACGAACCCGTGTCCCCTGTATCGGTAGGCGGACTCTCAACCACTGCGCCACCAGGGAAGCCCCCCGCCCCCCATTTCTGACACTGGCATCTCAGAGCCTGCTTCCTCCCTACCACACCCCACTCCCAGATTGTTGTCAGCTCTGAGCTGGTTTCTACTGTCACATTCACCCTAGTGGGGCTTTGGGGCGGGGCCGGAGACGGTCCCCTGAAGTTAGAGCCCCCTACCAGGTGGGCTGCTCCTTGGAAGAGCCCGTCTTCCCGGCTTGGTCCCTCTGCTGGCCCCTCCCTGCTGCCTCCATGGCCTCTTCAGGGTCATTATGATCCGCCCCTCACCCAAGGTGAAGTGGGCACTGAGGCTGGGGGGCAGAGGGCGGGGCTGTTGTGCTCAGGATGCCAAGGCTGCAGTCACAAGGGAGCGTGGGACTCCTGGCCAGGGCAGCCAGGCCCAAGCCAGGGATGGAGGGCCCTGGGTTCAGCTACCCTCTCTGGATCTGGGAGGCTCAGGTGGGTCATGTTTGGGCTGGGTGGCTTTGCAGGTGGAACTTCCACTAGAAGCCTGGGTAGTAAGAATGCGGTGGGCCTGGAAACTACGAGGAACCAGTTGTGAGTCCATGCTCTGTTCCTGCTTGCTGTGTGGTGTTGGATAAATCTCTCCTTTCTCAGGGCTCCATGGTAAAATGGATTGTTGGGCTCCACCTGTGACTCTTGGCTGGGAGGGGGCAGGGAAAAAGCTTGTATTGTAAAACTTGAGTGGGGGACGAGTGTAGTTTGGACCAGTAATTTCACTGGCCTGGTAGGATTTTACAATTTGAAAATGAATAAAATGACTTTGGAATTCAAATTACAAGATGTCTGCCTGGAGGAGGCATCCCAGACAATGTAATACATTTCCGAAAATACTCCTCAACCAGGGATGGAAGGGCATACCTCCTTGGGAAGACAGAATATTGAGTGGGGAAGGTGAGAAATTTTTATATTTATTCTAAGGGTTTGTGAGTTTTTAAAAAATGGATGAGGAACACCAGACTACCTAGATGATTTCTAAGGAGGCCTCCAGCCCTTACATGCTGCAAACATTTATTGAGCATCTACTATGTGCGAGGCTTGGGAATTCAGAGATGCAAGAGGCTTTGAGGTTAGTGGACTGGCCAGACCTGGAAAGACCTTGGAGTCCAGGTGTAGGGAAGGGAACTTGTCTTCCATTGACAGGAAAAAAAGGTAGGGGTGGATTTTTAGGCACCCCTAAAAAAGCTAGGCTCAGAGCTGCCCCCCAAAGATTATAGAAACCTCCAGATTGAGATTGCCCAAGATTTATCCCCTTGCCATAGTGACATGGAAAGTGAAGCTTGGGAGAGGAGCCCAGGCCAGGGGAACCAAGTCTGACCTGCAGTGCCCTAGCGAGGATGCCACATAATATGGACAGATTTGGGGGACTCAAAAGCAGGTGGGGCTTTTCAGGGCACCCCCCCCATAGCTTTCTCTTCATTAGAGCAAACACATTTTAAGCCCCTCCTTTGTGCAACACCCAGAGGAAGGCACTGTAAATCTAAGCCAGGATGTCAGTTTAGGAAAAAAGAACTTATGGTGAATACTGTGAATATTATGACATAGACGAATATTACGACGAATATTATGACTCAGCTTCTATTTACTGAGAGCTGGCTCCAAGCACAGGGCTGAAGTCTTGACGCATAACATCCCACAAATTTAACCCTCAGAGCATTCCATCTATCTGGCAGAAGTGGAGACTGAGGCTTGGAAAGGTTCACAAGGTCTACCTACCTGCAAACTCTCATTTCCATCAAGGCTGCTTCAGGGACCGCGCCAGAAATTCTGTGTATGGCAGGAGCCTAGGGGAGGGCAACCTTTTGGGAACAGAAATTTCATGGATTTGCTCTGCTTATTTGGAGTGGCAACCCCTTGGCACTGTCAAGGGTATTTTTCTTCCTTTTTTTTTTCTTTTTGATCTGTATATTTTAAGATATTAATTGTCATGGGTGGGATTAAGGCTTGCATAAGGCTCCCCCTCCCCTTTTTACCCAGTGGAAACTCCACAGAACGCTCGTTTTTGAAAGTCCAGCCTTGCCGCCTCCTAATGAGCTTCAAGCTGGAGGCGGGACAGGGTCGGCGATGCGGCTTTTCAGAGCTGGGGAGCTCTTCCCGGCACAGCACTCGAGTTAGGGCCGGAGCCCACGGGGCGGAGCCCGATGCGGCCCCGCCCCCGGGAGCCCGGAAGTGACGTAAGCGGACAAAGGCGGCGCGCGCCGCGAGGTGTAGCGTCTGGTAGAGGTTAGGTGGAGCTGCTTGGGGGCTGTTGGGGTCTTCGCCGCCGCCGCCGCCGCCGCCGCCGCCGCCTCCGCCCTCCCTTCCTTTTCCCCGTCCTCTTCTCCCGGGTCCTAGGAGCCCCCGCGTGGGGTGAGTAGCGCGAGGCGGAGCGGGGGGCGGCGGCCGCCGGGAGAGGGGAGGCCCCGGCCCCCAACGGCCTGGGCGCCCTGAGGCCCCGGCTCCTCACGTGACCCGGGCGCGAGCCGGCAGGGCCCCACGTGCGCACTCCGGGGAGGTCCGCCGGCAGGCCGGCCGGCCCTGGGCCCCAGGTGGGGTGGGAGGAGGAAGGCCGAGGCCCCCAAGCCTGATCAGGGCACTCCCCCACGCCGGCCCCCGCCGCAGCAAGTTCTTTTCCCTCTCTGAGCCTCAGTTTCCCCTGTGAGAAACGGGTAAGGAGAGCACCCACTAGGAGGGTGGGTGTGAGGATTCAGTAAAATGCTCAGATTAGAGTCGGGCACAGGGCAGTTCCCGGTTACATAGGCGTTGCTATCATATTTCACCTTGGACCCGACCCCAGTTAGGGGTCAACATAGGTGCCGCTCAAAAGACAGCCCGCCGCGAGGAGCCCTTGGAGCCAAGGTCAGCCTGTTGGCAGAGAGGCTGCCATATCAGAAGGCCCAGGCTTTGCTGCCCATCAACTGTGTGATCTCTCTCTGGACCGTGGTTTCTCTGTACAACAAGGGATAGAACCAGCTGGTGTCAGAGGCTTTGCGGGTGGGGCTGGGCAGTATTGCACATGGTCTGGATGTATGGAATCTGCCCAGTGAGATGGGATGAACCCCTGGGAGAACTAGAGCCTTGACCCAGTAAGAAGTCTGGATTCCGTCCTTATTCTATTCCTGGTTTTCTGTGTGTGTGCATCACTCCATGAGTGGAATGGTTTTTCTCTCTGTGAACTAGGGACTGTGGGAGGGTTGAAATACGTGTAGAATGCTTTGGTGGAGACTAGAAGCCGTAGAATCACAAAGACAGAGTCACCAAAACCAGCAGGGTTTCCGTGCTTCCATGGATGGGAAGCTCACTCCCCTCTGCGGATTGGCAGAGCTGAGTCACTGGAACGACCACCCAGCAGTAACAGTCATGACCCCTTAGGTGTGGCCAGCACTCTGGTTTAGAGGGCCTTTCAGCACATTTTCTCATTAGGGCTTCACACTTGGCAGAGAGAATTGATGGGAATCTCATCTGACAGAGATTTTTGGGATTAATGCATGCCCAGCAGTGCATGGATCACTTTACGCTTGTATATCCACGTTTAATCATCACAGCCTTCCTATAAAGTCAATGTTGCTGTTCCCATTTTATAGATAAAGACACTTAACTGAGGTTGTGTCTTATCTGCGCTTACACAGCCAGTGAGAAGCAGAGCCAGGATTCACACCTGGTTCATTCAACTCCATCAGAGCCTTTGTTTTTAAATCCCGCTCCCCCTCCTTTTTTTTTTTGGTCTTCTCTACTCCCTCCCTCCCTTTCTTTTTCATAGAACACCCTGCCATTCTCAGAAGTCCAACGGCTGTCCACACAGAGCCAGGGAGAACAGGCCCTGTCCACGGGGGTGTGGGAAGGAAGAGGTAACATCAGGCAGGCTCGTGCCTCCCGATGCTTCCAGGCTTTTCCTTAGAGACTGGTAAATGAGGATGAGATGAGCCTAAAGAGCCTGACGGTGACAGTTCCAACCCCATTCTCTTCCATGGATCCTGGGAAAAGAGTAATAGCTGGGGCGGCTGGCCGGGGTGGCCCTGAACACCTTGGAGGGGGGCGTGGGTAGGTGGCCAGATGATCATGAAGGATTCACAGACACATTCCACTTGCTGAGGAGCAGAAGTTCCCTAGGAGCAAAGGGTCTCACTTCCCCTCCAAGCTAGCCCAGAGCGCACGAAGCCAGACTGCCCAGGCCCCTCCCCTGTCCCTGGGGCCATGTGGCTCCTTCCTTGCCGTGATCCCAGCAGGGCAGAGTGCAGGAGGACCTCCTGCGGGTTGACTGACAGCCCCGCCCTTCCCTCTGACTCCTAGGGACCTCCTGCCCACCTCAGTCTGGACGCTGGGAGGCAAAGTGTAGACAGGGCCCCAGAAGTCATGTTTACTAATGAATCTAAGCTGTTAGGACAAATGTCAGGGTTATACTTGCCATTTCCCGGCCTAGATGTGCCTCCCCTGGCTTGTTCCTAGAATGTACCCATAAGTGGAATTCTTGTAAATTGGATTATTCGGGGGACCTTGACATTTAAAGGAATCATGTTGTAAGCCTTTTGGTAAAGCAAAAAATTGTATCGTCAGTAAAGGGCTTCAGTGATATCAGGTTTGAATGATTTGATTTTTGTCTGTAGGATTTTCTTAAAAGTGGAGAATGACTGGCCACACAAAGGTCCTTCTGTGATTCATTCAGCAAAACCAGTTAGTAAACACCCACCTCACAGCAGGTGTTAGGCTAATAGTGTAGACTTAGCGTCCCTGGGCCTCCTGGGAGGGAGGGCAGACAGATAGGCAGAGAGAGTACAGCCAGGGAAGCGTCTGGCCCCGGATTTGTTCTGTTCATCTGATCGGAAGGGAACTTTGTTGAATACCTATGAGCTACATGAGACGCAGGAGAAATACAGTGACACATCTCAGGGTGTCGCCACTGCTTTCTAAGGAGTTCCCAGTCCAGTGGGGTGATAGACACAAATACAAAACCAGAAGTTTGTGTGAGGGGGACAGGGCCGAACTCGCTGTGCTCGTCCGAGTGGGAGCGCTGCTGTGTGGCCGGCTTTGGTGCTGTCCTTCCTGGATGACAGCGGAGGGGCTGGGAAAGAGTTGCCGTGGTGCCTATTGGCGGGGGCTGGGGAGCCCACTTGGCCTTTCAGACCGCGTCCACATAAGCAGCCCCCAAACCCAGGAAAGTGAATGGTAACATTCAAGCTGGTGGCTCCCTTTCCTGTCAGTTCTCAGGGAGCTACGGTGACACTTACTGTGCCACATCTGCATTCTCGGGGACTGGCAGGTCTCCACGTGCTTTTGCTTGTCACGTTCCTCGAGGGTGGAACGAGAGTTCATTGTCACAAGCAGCGCGCCGCTTCCTCCTGTGGGCTGGGGCGCGGGTGTGGGACACTGCCGTGAGCCAGGGCTGGGGGCAGTATTTAGAACTGAGGCCCCCCCAGCCTGTTACCCCAAAGGGCTCTTGGGTTGGTGCCATAACTGGAACCGTCCTCATTGGAGTCCCAAGCCCTGTACCTGAACAGGGAAGGGAGGGGATCCGTCTGACAGCTGATTCGAGAACCTGAAGGGGGGGGGAGCCAGGGGTCTCTGGGGGCACAGTGGAAGGGGTCTATGGAGGGTGGAAACAGTGGCAAAGTCCAGGTCTAAGGGCGACCCTGGTGGGGCCTGTGGATGCTGTCGGCTCCCTCCTGTTCCGCAGAAGGCCCGTGTGTGACCCCTGTCCCCGGGGAACGCCTGGGTCCACAGAAGGAGCCGGGTCCGGGGACGAGGCGGCGGCCCCCTTCCCATCTGTTCCCAGCAGCCAGGCCAGGCCCTCCCCCGGTGCCCCCACTGGCTGGCTGGCGTCTCCAGAAAGGGCTGGCCGTGGCAGAAGTGGAATTGCATCAGGGAGCAGCATTTCTGAGTTGTTTGGCTGGGGTGGTCCTGCTGCTTCTGGAAGGTTCCTTGTCTTCCAGGACAAGTTCAGAGTGCAGGTGTATGTTGGAGGCTAACTACAGACATGGCAGTGAAGATCTTCAGCGTTTCTTATGTTCTGTTCCCCTTCGCTTCTTCTGGTCTCTAAGTTATGTGTCGAAGGCCCGTGCTTGTCCTCGGGGCACTTTTCTGTTACTTCTCTTGAAGCTCTTAAAGCACTTCTCCGTCTTACAGGGGTTTCAGCTGGTTTTGAGGACCATACCGGGAGGTCAGTGACTTAACTACAGCCCCGTGGAGTACTGTAAAGGGGGCGGAGTGAGCCCCCGGGAGCACAGACTTGCACAGCTTTCCTGGGGGACTGGGGGGCTTTCACCCCTGTACTGAGGGACTCCTGTGGCTCCGTGCCGGGATGCAGTGGTGAAAAGGCAAGGTCCTACCTCGGGGGCTTCCATTCTAGTGGAGGCCAGACGGTCAGTAAACTGTCATTTCAGCTAGAAATACGCACTCTGAAGGCAGGAACCACGGGGATCGGGTAAGCGTGTTGGAGGAAGTCACCTTAGACTGGTCAGGGAAGGCCTCTTTGAGGTGACACGTGAGTGAAACCCTGTGTTGAAAATCAGCTGCTCACGGGGGAAGGCCCAGGGCTCGGCAAACGCACGGGCCCCTTGACCTTGGGTAGGATGCCACCGTGTGCATCGCCTCCCTCCTCTACACGGGGCTCGTGGGGTGCCTGGGTCGCGGTGAGTCGTGAGGGTCCAGTGGCCAGCGAAGAGTGCGCAATGCGTGTGGGCAGAGGATGGGTGGCTGCTACCCCCGTTCTGTCTCCTGGCACGGCCCTGCCGTTCCTGCACCGTTGCCACTCAGCCCCCGCAGGCTGGGTCCCCGCACACCCCTGCCCTTCAGAAACTCAGCTGATCAGTTTCCCGTTGTTGACAGACTGGACCCATGGCCCCAGGCTGCACTCAGGGCGCTGTACTCCAGGCCCCGTCTGCCAGGACGGGCTCACCTCCCACACTCTTTTCTCTGTCCACACTGCAGCCAGCCTGGCCGTCCCCAGCCCTCTGTGTGGCACGCGTGCCATGTCACCTCTGCTCTGTCCCTGTCCCCTTCCAGAGCATTCCTTGTCCTCCGGGCCCGGCCTTCTCTTGGCTGCTGCCCCGCCTGCCATTCGGAAGGGACTCCTCTATCCCTCAAGCTCCCATAGCACTTTTTGGCTCAACGAGAGTCCTCATTTCTGCCTTGTGTTCTCGTTGGTTCCATTTCTTCCCTGTCTCCCCTGCTGTAAGCCTCTGGGTGTTGAACTTTATCTGGACAAGCCTCACAGCAGCCGAAACAGCCCCGCGCACGGTGAGCATCTGTAGAGGAGCGCGGTGCCTCGGGAGAGGTGTGACCCTCCATCCCCTACGTGGTGTGGCCCAGCTGGCTGAATGTGGCGCTCGCAGCGGGCCTCCGCTCTGCCATTGGGGCCCGGCCGTCTGCTTTCACTCTCCCCTGTAGCCCACGCAGCTGCCACCGCAGCCCCCAGAGGCGCACGGCAGGCCGCTCCCTGCTTAACCTAGGGTGGTTCCGGCCCGCTGTTCTTTGGTGTGAAGTCGGAACTAGTACATGACCCTTAGGACCCCGAGTTTCCCGTTGGAAGGGCAACACACGTGCCTGTCTTCCTGGAACAGTCTTCTTGGTTGCTGAGCGAAGGCTTCCTCATCCTTGATGTTAGCTGGTGTGTCGCTTCTCCTGACACCTGTGCTCTGCCAGCACCTTGTACCTCTCCGCAGCCCTCACACATGCCTGATCGTGTGTATCCGCCTGGCCGTCTCCCTGTTCACAGACAGCACCTGGCACAGAGTCAGGCTCATGGGTAACCGTGGACTGGACCCCCAAGTGAGCTTGTTTCTGCGCTCGCGACGGAGGAAGGGAGGCGTGGGGCTCCTCGGGCCCTGCTGGGATCACCCGGAATGTCTGCTGTAGGAGGCTTGGGTTCCTTGCTTTGTTTTCATTTCTCTTAAGTGTAGATCGGGGTTCTCTGTACCTTGGGTTCAGAAGCCACTGAGTCAGGTGTCATGTAGGGTAAGGAAAGAACTAGAAGCCAGGACTCTGGGTGTCCTGCTCTGACATGAAGATAGATTTGCAAAATGACTTGAATGCAAGAGACGGGGGGCAATGCCCTCTAATGGGGAGAAGCAGGTTGCGGGACACTGGCCACTCCTCTGCGTCAGGCAGGATCGTGTGACCAGCAGAAGCATGCGGGGAGCCCAGGGCCCTCAACCTGGCTGCTTCCCTCCTTTTTTTATTCAGGGATACCGCTGCTGAGTCTGGTGCCTGAGCAAAGACGTGGCTGGTGACAGCATGACGAGCGAGGTGATAGAGGACGAGAAACAATTCTATTCCAAGGCCAAGACGTACTGGAAGGAGGTCCCGGCCACCGTGGACGGCATGCTCGGGGGGTATGGCCACATCTCCAGCATCGACATCACCAGCTCCCGGAAGTTCCTGCAGAGGTTTCTGAGGGTAGGCAGGGCTGCTGTGCTCTCCAGGAGGAGAGGCGGTGGCGCCGGTGGCACTGCCTGCTCTGCGTGGGGCGCCACCTTCCCACTCGCCGCCACAGGGTCACCCCACTGTGTCCACGACCCAGGCCTTGAAGAGCGGGTGGGGCGGGGTGACTCACAGGCTTTGCCCCAAGGTCACCCGACAGGAGGCAGCTGTTACGCTGGGGCCTCTCGGTGCCGGAACGGAGCAGTCTCCTCACAAACTGTTCTATTTTTCCAGAGGCAAAACCTTTGCTCTCCTGCCGTGTTTGCAAGCATCTGGGCTGTGGGTGTTGGCCGTTCGGCCAGCACTGGCTTCTCGTTCCTCGCCCCGCCACCCTCCTCTGTGCCAGGTGGCATCGCCGTGGCCGGAGCCTCCCTGCCTGTCCCTCGGCAAACACCGAGGCTGCTGCTTGCCCCCTGCTCCACCCACGTTCCATCTTCCCGGATTTGTTCACTGAGTGCCCTCTTCCATCCTTTCACTGCTTGAATTCTTTATTCTCTCTCTGCTGCTGTCCTTTTAATGGGGTCTCAGGAGTGACAGGAGATGAACGCACCTATTTGAGTTAACACCTTTAAGTGGAGGTTGGCTTTCACGTTAGAAACATGTGGCCCAGAAAAAGGCTGTGCTGTGCTTACGCCCACTGCTGGCCCCACCGGTGCCAGCTGCCGGCCTGTGCCCAGGCCTGATCTGAGTAGTTCCAGGGGCTCGTGAGGAAAGGCCCCTTCACAGTGACAGGGTCCCTGTGGCTTTCTAACCCTTCCTTATAGTCTGTGCCTTCTCTGCTTTTTCAGGAAGGCCCAAACAAGACGGGAACCTCGTATGCCCTGGACTGCGGAGCCGGCATTGGAAGGATCACCAAGAGGCTGCTCTTGCCTCTCTTCGGAGTGGTGGACATGGTGGACGTGACGGAGGACTTTCTGGTCAAGGCCAAGACCTACCTGGGTGAGGAAGGCAAGAGAGTGAGGAACTTCTTCTGCTGCGGCCTCCAGGACTTCAGCCCGGAGCCGCACTCTTACGACGTCATCTGGATCCAGTGGGTGATAGGTGAGCATCCCACACCCCTTCTCCACCTGCCTGCACATCTCTCACCGCAGAGGCCGGGCTTCCCGAGGCCGTGGGAGCTGAGGCTCTGGCACTGCTGCAGAGGGTGGCCAGCGGGCATTCCTCGAATCCTCCCTGCACTCGCCAGGACTCCACCTACAAGGTTCACTTGCTTCCATGTTTTGTTTCAACTCAATACCTGCTGTGACCCATTTGGGGACAGATTCTGTGGTTGAAAAGTTTTAATTATCAATAACTTACTGCATTCAAAGAATGTGGAAATGAGTTTTCATAAGAAGGGGCTTTCAGTAAGAGGAGAAGTTGAAGCCCTGGCTGCCCCTCTGCTGTTCGCGGTGAGTGAGCCGTTTTATCACCCGGTCCTGCACCCACGTGGCCTGACGGCGTACCCAGGGTGCTCTCCTCAGGCTGCCGACCTAGCAGCAGGCCACCTCCTCCAGGTGGGCGGCCCAGGCCTGCTGGGAACACGCTGGATTCGCCCTGTATTTTGTGGTCCTCAAAAGCCTGTTAGGAGTTGTGATGTAGGGAAGGAACTCTGTTTGGTACACTCCGCTGATCCAGGCCTAGGAGGGGCGGGTGGAGTGTAGGTGCTGGGCACGGCCTGGAAGTCACCCAGTCAGGGTGAAATCCCAGCAGCATACGTTGTGATTGCCCTTGGGTAGGTGACTTCTGAGCCCGTTTCCTCTTAAAATGGGCTTTGGTAAACCCCTCCGGGCTGTTGAAAGCCAGTGGCCCTGTGTGTTCAGCACTGAGTAAGTGCTCAGCAAGTGGACACGCAGTGGCATGGAGGGGCTGGCATCCTTCCCTCGTGACGGCCTCTGCCTCCCCCAGGCCACCTGACCGATCAGCACCTGGCCGAGTTCCTGCGGCGCTGCAAGCGGGGCCTCCGCCCCAACGGCATCATCGTCATCAAAGACAACATGGCCCAGGAGGGCGTGATCCTGGACGATGTGGACAGCAGCGTGTGCCGGGACCTCGACGTGGTCCACAGGATCGTCCGCAGCGCAGGCCTCAGCCTCCTGGCCCAGGAGCAGCAGGAGAACCTTCCAGACGAGATCTACCACGTGTACAGCTTAGCCCTGAGATGAGTGGGGCTGGCAGGAGAGAGGGACCAGCGTGGGTGGGGAAGGACTGACAGCTGCACGCGGTCCACACGCTCAACCTCGATGGTTCGGGGGTGCTGAGCGGGGCCACGAAATATACCTGTCTGCCGTCCACTCACTATACAGACTCTTATTAAAAAGGCATAAGGGGACCCAGTCGGGAGGGGTGCCACTGAATGGGGCAGCGAGGCCGGAGTGAGCGGCGGGGACTGGGCCCTGTGGGCCCATGCGACCCCTGGGCCTCCAGTGCTCGCCTCGTGGGAATCCGGCGGTCCCATCAGAAGTGAGACTCCCTGCTCTCCAGTAACACCACCTGGCCTTCCTGCCACAGGCCTGGCTGGCTTAAGAGGAAGAGAGTAACCACTAAAGCGGTTGCCGAGGACTTTATGCCTCCAGAGGGGAGGGGAGCGGAGCTGGGCCCGTGGAGCCTGCGGCTCTCAGCACCCTCCTGCCTGCGCTGAGCCTACATGGTGCCTGCCGAGTGGTGCAGTTGATGGGATGTCCACGTTCCGGGTGCTATTTGGAGATGGGGCCCTGGGGCCCTTAACGTGATTGTCACCACAGCCTGCAGGGAGGGGAGAGGCCTGGAGCTTCCCTCTCGGCTGTGCCTTGTGACTCCTCCTTAGGGGGCATTTTCAGTCAAAAATAAAAGGGTGAACCCCTGTACTGGAAAGGCCTTCGCCAGTCTGGAGTGGTGCTTTTCTTTACTGGGACAACAGTGCTGTGCTGCTTGAAAACTCCTCTCCTGAGCTGGGCATCTCCTCGTGCCTCTGCCACCTCTTTTTCGGCTGCCGTGGATCCTTTACCCTGAACTCGGGAAAGGGCGGGGGGGGGCGGGGCCGAAATGTTATACAAGGACCTTTAAGGCCAAGGGAAATCAGTTTAATTTTATAATATATCATTTGGTTGTCTCAGCTCATCTCCCAGGCATTTACACAATTCACAGTGACCACCTGTGTGACTTGCAGACAGCCTGGTGAGGGCTCAGTCCAGGGCGGAGGCTGGCTTTCAGTCTCGGTGGCTTCCTCCGTCAGATGATCCCTCACAAAGCGAGACACTTTGGAAGGACAGCCCCTGGCTATGCATGATTGCTTTGTAGAAGGCATGGTCCCCAGAACCCCAGGTTTGGCACCAACAGCTGCCGCCAGAGCAGAGCCCTGCACCCTGGTGGGTGACCTGGGCCCAGAGCTGCAGGTGCCGCAGGAGTCAGCTCAGCTTCCTCCCTGCCTGCCCAGAAGCACGCACTTTCTGACGGACTCTGGAGTGGAGGCGCGTGTAAAGGGTCTCGGCTGGGCTGCACCCCGCGGGCCCCTCCCGCCTGCTCCGGCCTCAGCCGCATCTCCATGCAGAACAGCCCAGCTTCCTGCAGCCCGCAGGAGGGCCTGGTCTCGGAGCTACCCTGCTTCTCTAAATGCCTGGCGCTTCCCTCAGGTTAAGAGGGTACAAACGTGTCCCAAATCTAAACCCTGTCCCTTGTTCCACTGTGGGGTGAGACTTGGGGGGTGCTGCCAGAGGGAAGCGGGGGCGGTCTGCCTGGAAGACGGAAGCCTTTCCCCACTGGAGTGCTTGCAGCTGCCGGGTTCCACCTGGCTTTCTCTGTCCTCAGTAAGGATCCAGTCTCACCTCCAACATGCACCTTCTGACAGACGGGGCTGAAGGTTCCCCCCTAAGGCCGCCACAGGTACTTAAATCCACCAACAGGTTGAGCTGCCCAGACCCTGTTCCCTGCAGTCGCAGCTGTCAGATGTCGTCTTCGACGGTGCCACTGTGCTCACTGAGGAGGTACCACTTGAGCCTGTCGGGCAGAGGTAGGGCCTTGACCTTCGCGTCCACAGGCCACGGCTGAAGGTAGAGCCGGATGTAAACGCGACACAGGTGCTTGAGGGGTGGGGGGTAGCTCTCCAGCTGCCTCAAGGAGAAGTGAAGGGCCTGGATCTTGTCTGCCAGGCTGCCCACGGGATGGATATCGAAGTTTTCAGGCAGCTGGAGTTTATGGGAATTAGTCACCATGAGATCCAGGACGGTCTCAGCTTTGCGCAGCAGGTCCACGTGACTCTCGTCCTCCGCGCAGCCTGGGTGGGAGCAGAGCCTCTCGAAGATGATGTGGAAGCCGGACCAGCAGGACGCGCCGTGGAGGGAACAGTTATAGGCGGCCCCGGACTCCAGCAGGAAGCGCAGGAGAGGGAAGTGCAGCTTAAAGCTCTTGAGGCAGATGTGCGTGAGGGACTCGTGGGCCGGGCACTCGCTGGGGTCGGCGCCGTGAGCCAGCAGCAGCTGCGTTACTTGGAAGCAGAAGCGGTTGATCAACTGGGCCTCCTCTTTGTCACCTCCCACCGTCTCGCCCAGCAGAAAGATGATGCAGGTGAACACGGTGTCCCCGTCTTTGGTGGTAGCCTTGACATCCGCCCCTAGAAGAACCAGGAGGGAGAAGAGACGGTGGGAGGAGGCCTTAAACCCTGGCAAAGCAATGCTTCGTGTTCCAGGGGGCAGCGTGGAAGGACAAGGCTCACCTCCTTCCAGCAAGAGGCGGATGTTCTCAGTGTTGTGGATTTGCACCCCGTCACTGCTGGCCAGAGCATGGAGCAGAGCAGTCTTTCCTAGGGAGGGAGAGTGAGTGGGGGGCAGTGGGAGGCCAGGAAGCCGAGGTCAGGCCAATCCCAGAGGTGGAAGGGAAACACAGACCCTCGGGATCAGAAAACGAACTTCAAAAATGACTGACCTCTCTCAGCTAGGGCTGAGGGTGACAGGTTTCTTTTTTTTGAATTTTTTTTATTTTTTTTTTTTATATAGCAGGCTCCCACTAGCTATCTGTTTTACACATGGTAGTGTATACATGTCAATCCCAATCTCCCAATTCATCCCACCACCAGCCCCCCTGCCACTTTCCCCCCTTGGTGTCCATACGTTTGTTCTCTACATTTGTGTCTCTATTTCTGCGTGGAAGATGACAGGTTTCTGGCCATTCTCTCTCCACTCACACAAAAATGGGAACAGAAGGGCCAGGAAAAGCAGGACTTTTCTAGACCCTGAGATGCTACCTGAGACAGGGAGCCCCGTCCCTCAGAAGCTGAGCACACAGGTACCCCGTTTCCTCCTACAGATGCCCTTACGGGACCGATGACGCACTGCCTCTCAAGCCTCGGCGAGTCAGCAAAATGCACCAGTGTGCGCCCGGCCGTGCTGTGCCATCAGAGGGACTGCCTCCAGCCTGCCTGCCGAGCCATCGCCCCGGGTTACCCTGGGTAACCTCACAAGGCAATTCGGCCCACGCCCACCCTGCTTCTCTACAGGAGGCACCCACCATGCTTGTCGGCCGCGTTGACATCTGCTCCAAGGTCCAGGAGGCGCTGCAGGCAGGGCAGGCGCTCCGGCTCCTCGCTGGCCAGGTCCAAGGGGCTGCTCTCGTGGATCTGAGTCAAGAAAGCACAGCCGCGTCGGCCCGGGGGCCTGTGAGCTGCTCAGGGCCCCAACCATATCCCCCCTTCAGAGCAGGCCGGACCTGGCTCTTACCCGGTCCCTGCGGTTAATGTCGGCCCCGTGGCGCACCAGCAGCTCCACCATGTCAGGCTGGTTTCGCAGGACGGCGATGTGCAGGGCCGTGTAGTAGGTGACCGGGTCTGAGGGCACAGACACAGCTTACGTCAGTCCTGCCTGTCGGCACATTCTCGCAGGGTCCCAGGACCAGCCTGGCAGCCCAGCCGCAGTGCTCCGACCTAAGGGCTCCCAGCACCACGAGGGGTCAGGACACAGCTGTCTTCGTCGGACAGTGCATGGAGTCAGGCCTAGGTTTGGGTCCTGGGGGTGTTCTGATTAATGGACATCGTACTTAATCCGGGTTTTAGTTCCTTCTGTAAAATGGGACCTAAACAGGGCTGTTGGGAGGAATATGCAGAGTGACAGCTCGGTAAGTCTTGCAATAAAAGCCAAGTTCTCACAGCTGGGTCTCCCAGTGGCTGACTTCACAATGCCTCCCCCACCTCTCTCAGCTCTGTGACCCTCCAGGAGCCTAGAAGCCTCTGAGCCTGTCCTCAAATGGGGAGGGGAGACACGCCTGGCCACATCCTGTGTCAGCACAAAACCCCCAAGTCGGCCCCAAGTCAGCCCTGCATGTCTCCTGGCCGACTCTGCCTGCCCTCCCAGGGTGAAAGCGAAGAGGGAAGGAATAATGGCTCCATCACCACCCCCAGCACACAAGCTAGAAGCCAACACCGTCCTGCTGTCATTTATGCCCAGTGAGTCTTATCTGTTTTCCCCTCTCCCTGTGGCAGGAACAAAAATGCAAGGTAGCTCAGAATGAGTGTCAGAAAATTACATTCCCTGAGCTCTGGGCACAGCACCAGCAGCCACATTTTCACATTAATGGAAGCAGGGATTTAGCTGGGAGCTGGGGGAAAGTTTGCTAAAGCAATCACATGGTAGAAGCAGTGGCAAACTCGCTCTTGATCAGAGGTGGTTAAGGGCCATTTGAAAGCCCGCAGGGGGATGGGAGGCCACCCAATGTGGGTTTCCTTAGTCATCACCCATGACATAAATGAGGGAAGTATCTCCCAAGAGAACAGTAAAAGCAGAGCCTGAAGGCTTGGCCGCCCACCCAAAGCAGGGCCACACTTAAGCCACCTACCCACCCCGGCCCCTCTGGGCTCCAGCTGACCTTCGAAGTTGAGGTTGGCCCCATTCCGCAGGAGAACGTCAGCTGCACGCGTCAGTCCCAGCTCGGCCATCTTCAGCAGGGCGTTGCTCACGCCTTCCTGGTAAAATGGAGAGTGGGCTTTTCTCTCCAGCAGCTCAGTGAGAACAAGGATCCGGCTCTCCTCGCTGGCAACATAACTGGGCCTGGGGCAGGAGAGAGGCAGACCAGTTGAGGGTGGGAACAGCAGTGGGACCAGCTGGCTGGGTACCCTGTGGGCAGGTGGCCTTTAGTCTCCTGTTGTCACACACAAGCAGGGCCCTGGCTCCGTGGGGCTGAAAGTCTCTTTAGAAAAGGTCGGTGGTAGAGAGGGCCAAGCTGGATCTGCTCACTGGAGCAGACTCCTCGGGTTTGCTGAGAAAGGACTGGGGCTGTCTTCAGCCTCCCTCCAAGCGGCCCAGAGAATCTAGCCCCTGGCTTGGGTACAAAGCCTCATACACCTGGGCTGTTGGCACTGAAGGGAACTCTTGTGGCCAAGATCAAGTACCAGACACTGACACCCTCCCACCGCAGACAATGACTGTCCCTGAGCGGCAGAGGACGCCAGACCAGCCCAGGCAACCCCACAGCCAGGGCAGTCAGCAGACCTCCTCCCTCGCTCACACCCAGGGACGTCTGGTGTTCCGAAGGCTGAGCGCACACAAAGTCCCAACCCACCTACCTCCCTCGCCAATTCCAACGGGTCCCCAAAACGCACACCTGATCCCCTTTTCCTCTGCTCTTTTCTCTGTTCCACCTAATACACTATTTATTTAAGTTCACTTATGACTGTCGGTCTCTCTCCTCTGGAGCACAAGCATCATGAAGGCTGGGGGTTTAGCTCACTGACGTAGCCCTGAACGATGGGCTTCCTAACACCGTTCCCACCGGTTCACGGATAGACCCGCGCCTGTGCAAACTCGGCTATGGGAAAGCGCATTTCGCACTGCTCACAGATTCCACCCTGCTCCTCTGCAACTCCAGGTGGAGGGCACAGGACAGGCAGGGCGC